TTTTGGAAAGAAAACCGATAATTATCAATAGAAACCATAGAATAAAACCAATATTTATGTCTCTTACAGCGGTTTACTTCAAAAGAATTTGAATGATACTTTGGTAGTTCAACAATGTACACACAGCATTTTATATATAAATCAGAGAGTACCCAATAACGTGGTTATCAGAATTAGCTGTATTTCGAATTGCTTGATTGAAGGTGCAAATACAATCAATTCAATGTAAAATTTAAAACTGACTGAAGACATTTTGGAGGCGAAATAGACCAACCAACCTCTCCCATATAAGCAGAAAACTAACTCATCTTCCATGTAGGCATGATATCGTTGACAAAGGTCATTGGCAGTCTTTAGTTCTGAACAGCAAAAATCGCGGTTAGGAAACTCCCCTAATGTCAAAAAACATGTCATAATCTACCGTTAAAAATGAATTGGATACACATTGTGAAGGTAAAAATCAAATTTGCTGCCATTAGCCCCATTAATACAGTGACCTTTCTCCTTTCCAACTTGAGAAATTGAAATTGAATTACTGTATTTTCTCATGTGTGAGTGAATGGTCGGAGGAAAAGGCAGGGAGAGAAGGGAGAGGCAACACAAGCAGAATAATGGTCGTATAGAACTCATCTCGGTTCATGCCACACGATTACTAAAAATCAAAATCGACTCAAACACAAGTCTCACACATATGGTTCATGTCAGAAAACAATAACACAGCGATTTTTGGTAGACAGTTACTAAAATAAGTGCCCATAGATAACATGTCCTTGGAACATAAGATATTGAAAAAAAATAATAAAATAAACAGTAAAAAGGCAACACAAGGTACTAGTGTTAAGTTAGAAATTCTAATATATAACGAGGTGAAATGGAAGTAAATTTTAGGTTAAACGTCTGAAATTAAAAACAATAGATACCTTATGACACTGGAAGAGAAACAGAACCATTCTCTATATTGGCTTCCAAATTCCAGCCACTGAAAACATAACCCACAGATCAGTTCTAAATATGCCAAACACGTGTAGGACAAAAATAGATCAAATAGAGAAGGCAAGATTACTTTTCTGCTGCCTCTCTCCTTAGTTCCTGGATTTGACCCTCGATTTGAGAGCATGCCACTTGGATTTCCATATTTTTGTGGCAAAGATCCTTCCATTGCGTGGACAAAGCATGAAGCTCATATGCAGCGTTTTGCTAATCATTGCATAAATAATCAGCCAACTATTCCGAGGAATTGAACTATAGCCAATAGTAATATGAATTACAGGGATGCTACTTACTTGATGAAATTTCCTTTCACGGTTCACCTTTTCAATCTTCTCATTCTGTTCTTGAGCTAACTTTTGCATTCTGATAATGACATGACAATATAAGTAACAATCATGTATGGTCACTTTGGTCAGATGTACTTTCATATTCACTTCATTCAGAGATGACATGTATAAAAATGTGGCTATGTGTACCATAAAGCTAATGCCTGTAATGCAATAGTTTTGATAGCAGCAGGCCTTTGCCTCAAGTTAATGTAGGAATCTATAACTGACATTTATGTAGCAGTACTTTGTCACATCACATTAACATGCCAGCATCAACCCTTGAACAATGTTAAACATCCTTTATTGATAGAAAAATGACAAGCTCTAACAAAAAGTAATATGCAGAACATGACTCAAAATCCATAATATCTGTTATTCCTTGAAAGTGAAAATAGGTGGAAACTCGGTCAATTAAATGAAGAATGCAGAGTGCCACCAACCCAATTATATTTGGACTGGCACCAAAAGCTGGCAGTGCAACTTATGTGTCAAAGACAAATTATGAGAGTTTTCTGGGCGGCCTTCAGTCAAATGTGAACCCGGTCAGATATTTTCTATATATCTTTATGGTTCCTACTGATGTTTCTGTAGTTGTCCTAAAAATTATAAAGATACTCGAAAACCGTGAATATCTCTTCATGAGCCTCAGGGTTTTTTTCTTACCATCAAGAGTTTCCCACGCTCTGCATATTCTTATCTATGTTTTATCATTGCCCATCCTCAGTCTCAATTAACAAGTTCTTCTCTTCAGTTGAAAAATGACCACTGAAACAATAGGTCCAATGATTGCGACCATGTATAGCAATCAAAGCTTTATCAAGTTTATCAATCCATCCTAATGTTGAAAGTCAAATACATCTTTTCTCGCATTGCATCTAATTTTCCAGGATATCATTTAAAAAAATGGCAAGCAAATGCATTTAAAATGCAGGTAGATGAACAACAAATCCTCGTTGAACCAAATTTTCATGCCACAGAGGAAGTGTTCATTGAATTAGTTGAAGTTTTTTTAAATCATTATAATGTGAAGTGAAGTGCTAAACCCGCCAACTCAAATATGAGTTCTAGCTTCAAGCATGGATGCAAACCTGAAAAGAGCACCTAGGCATTCATCAAAGAAAGAATCATAGGTAGTAAACATATGTAGATGTTTCGTTTCTGCTGACTTATGTAGCCAAAAGTAAGGATTGCATTGCACAGGGAGAGTGTCACCCTATGCCTTAATTCACTAATGACCGGAGGTAAGGAGCTAAAAACATACAAGTCCACACCTCATAATTTGTGATCAGCAAGTCAATTCAAACAGAGAAGAATATAGTTACTGTCTAAAAAACTAAACATTATTTTAGAGAGGGAGAGATGCACACAACCAACAAATAATAATTGTTTCTCCATATGACAATTTTTCATATAAAAGAAACAGGACAATTTACACTATAGAAGGAGATAAACCAAAGTATTGAACATCGGAATCATGATCAATTAACATAAAAACATAAATAGATAACATAAAACATAGAACATTAAAACAAAATATAATAACAAACCTCGATAAAAGTGCTTCCAACTGTTTGTTGTGTTGCTTCCAGATATCAGGGCCATATTTTGACATCAGTTCCAAATTTTCCAGCCTGCAGTTAAGTTGTTATATTTTCATATTCTTATTGTTTTCTGATGAAATCTTTAAAACGTCCCTGATGTTTTGTTTCATGGTGGGGCAAGTAATCTTCTGCTTTCTGTTTTTTCTTACAAAAATTGTTAAATCACTCATAAGCATGACCTATGGGTACACAAACTAGTTTTAAAAAACCTACTACAACTAAGAAAAGTGAGAGATTTGATGAATGAGGAAGAATTGTATGCAGCAAGAAATTTTTAGGGTCAAATAATATCAAGTACTTAAAGTGGTCTATGTCAATAGAGTTTTGAGCCAAATGTAAATTAATAACTTAAAGTGCCCTGCGAAAATATTAACTTGGTATCACAAATATTAAAAAACGTCGTTGAGTTCAAGTAGCCAACTCTAACTGTTCTCCATAAAATAACGTTTTTCAAATGCAAGTCTTAAATTCCTAGAACAATAAAAACATATTAAAACTTCACCTCAGCACTTGATGACGTAGTAAGCATTGAGCTCTCTGAAGTGTCTGCTTCCAAGCAGTTTCGTCGTTCTTTTTATTTGGAGGCGGTGTCTCTAATTTATATCTTGCAACATCGAGAGGCACTGGAGGCCTCCCAGCTCTTACACGTTCATACTCTCTAGCAAGCAGTGGGTGATCCTGAGTTCAAACTTCATCAGTTGAGTAGAGTATCACTAATGTTATCACATTTAGTCGAATTTTCAAAGTCTATGCTATGTAATGGTAAAAGAGCGTATGCAAGAGAAAGCAGCCCGTCCTACAGTCATCGGTTCACACTTCATAGAAAAATAAAGAACACTGTTTCTCGCTGATCAGCAACATCCGATATTCTTGTTCATCGATTAATTTACATTTAATTTATTTGAGTTCGTTTTCGAGTAAACGTAATAGAGTATGTTACGGAGCAGAACCAGCAGATGAAGCATCTGAACGTTTCCAAATTCGGCATTACTAACTGTCCGGCAACTATATTTAGAGAGAAAACTAATCTGTTCTTGCGCCCACAAAGACCTAGGGAAGCAAGGCGAAGAGGAAGTGCAAAACCTAGAGGAAAACTCTGGCGGGAAGAGAAATTGAAACCTAACATACCTCGAATTTGACCTTGGGAACAGGAGGCAAGTCTTTGAGAAAGTCGGCGGGTCTCTTGAAGCTACGCCGCATCTCTTCCTCCACTAAGCGGTCGACCTCTGCTTTGACCCTTGGATCGGCATAGTCGTCGTCGATGTAGGGCAAGGCGTCGATTACCTCCGCATCTGCAGCAACATGCCAAGTTGGTTGAGATGGCTGTGGTGGAGCTTCGAGCATTAGGATGTCTCCGTTATTGCTGTTAGTCGCCATTGTCACCACGACGAGCAGCAGAGGTTTTGAGTTTTAGATTTTCAGAAGCTCGAGTGAGAAGATGGATGGAGCTTGCGCAGCCCGTCCCCAGAAGAATTGGGTTTTCACTGTTTCTATCCTTTTTATTTTTATTTTTATTTTTTTCTATTTCCCCCTCCCTCTCTTTATTTATTTATTTACACTTTTTGTGGGGTGGGGTCGTCTTTTTTATATTCTTGTTTAATTCCTTACATCGCAAATGTATATAAATGATAATTTATTTGTAATATTAATATTAGTTTGGTAAATCTTTAATTTCGTGGACAAACTTTAAAATGTTGTCTCAGTGTACGTATATAAAACTTTTTAGAAGAGAACGTTTAATTGGAAGAAGTTTCCTTTTCAAAAAAAAATAAAAATATTGGAAGAAGTTTCATGTACCATGGGATGGGAGATGAGTTCAGATATATGACCGTTATTCTAACACAGGATCTCCCGCTCTGATACCATTAGAAGATGAACAAATCACAACTCAACCCAAAAGTTTAAGATGATTGGTTCCGTAAATTTAATTTATTCATATGAGTATCTCAACATAACCATAAGTGAATAGGTATACGAGATCCATTAGGCAAAACCACATAAATGGACACCAGCAGCATAGAGGAGAAAAGCTCTTTAGAAAAACATATATGTGTCGATGCTCCTAATCAAGAATCCAACTATTATTCAAGGTAGAAGGCAATATAATATTATGGCAAGTACTTGTCAAATGAGAACTACAGAAGTTGTAGTATCAGTTTTGACAGCAGCCAACTGAGTTTGAAGCATATTCAAGATATTGTGGCATTTATTAAAAGTGTCCGAAGTTCCTGAGGTTGGCAAATAAAAAACCATAGTATGAGAAGGCACAGTGACAAGAGTCATAAATGAAGCAGCGTTGGTCGAAGATGAAGACGATTGCTCATTATTTGTTCGAGGTTTTGGTACTCGTTTTATTCCCTATTAGTATATGTCGATGATATATATAATTACTGGTGCATGTTCTTCTGGAATTGCTCAGTTAAAGTCTCTACTTAATGATCGTTTTCGACTCAAGGATTAAGGATCTCTCGAATACTTCCTCGAGCTTGAGCTTGATTGTTCTACCAAGGACATTTGTGTGTCCCAAGGACGTTATACATTGCATCTCCTTGAAGACACTTGTCTTTTAGCTTGTAAACCAGCCCAAGTACCTATGGATCCTCACTTGAAGCTACAACTTTTTTATGTCAATTTGCTGCCACGTGCTTCAGTTTACATAAGACTTATTGGATGCCTTATGTACTTGACAACTTCACGCCCATACATTTATTTTACGGTAATTAAGTTAAAGTCAATTTGTGTCACGCCCTTGCAATGTTCATCTGACTGCTGTTTACCATCTATTACATTACTTAAAAAATGCTCCAAGGCATGAGATTTTCCTACCTGTTTATTCTTCATTTCAGCTCCGAGCTTTTGCCGACTCCGATTGGACTTCTTGCCTTGATTCACAGCGTTCCACAACGAGATTTAGTGTTTTCTTAGGCGATGTTTTAGTCTCTTGGAAGTCCAAAAGGCAATATACCATTTATCGTTCATCTTCCAAAGCTGAATATCGAGCATTAGCCGTGGTTACTTTTGAACTAGTGTGGCTGTCTAGTCTTTTGTATGATTTACAGATACCTTTCAACCCGCTAGCCCTTTTGTTTTGTGATAACGAGGTTGTGGTTTATATTGCATCTAATCATATCTTTCATGAACATCCAAAACATATTGAATTTGATTTGTCATTTTGTTCGAGACAAAATTGTTGATGGCTTCCTCAAACTTTTGCCTATACGACTCACCTACAACTTGCTCGTCTTTTTACCAAAGCACTCCCTACCCATATTATTTTTATCCAATATGGGTATCTTAGACATTTATCATCCATCTTGAAGGGGAGTATTGGGAGATATCGAATTTTCTGTTATGTACAGTACATTAGCTTGTTATTGTTATCTAATTTTAGTTGTTCTTGTATACATTCTTTCGTGTACATACACAGTTGGGAGAATATAAATGATACGAGAAATTTATCAAATTTCTTATCCATTTTCTTAGTGATGAGCTAATCTTATATTATTAGGACAATGTATGACTTTAGCTAAACAACGAGGACTAATTTCAACTTTTAAAATTACTCAAACTACGAAAATCAAATTGTAACTATATACAAGTTTCAAAATAGTAAATTTACATCCCACTCATAATATTATATTTTATCTGTGTAATATAATGTTTAAAAATACGTTTCAAAATTCTCTCAACAAAAAAAAAAAAGTTTCGAGAAAGTAAATCGAGCCTAAATATAAAAAAGAAAAAAAAAACGGGAAAAGAAAAGGAAAAAAAGTGAAGTATTTCCAATAGAAACAGATCGGATTAAGTTTGGAGGCAACAGGGCGCGCGTACAAAAATTTAAAAAACATTTCGCGGTAAAATTCTTGCGAATTGACCGTATTGCTCTTTCACAGGCAAAAATATTACAGGGTTAGGACCGATTTCTCTATTTCGCAATCCTCGGACTGCATCCTTTAGTTTAGCTGTAATTTATTCTCTGTGCTCGCCTCCCATGCTTCAACATTTGCTCTCCCACCCCCCATTTTCCTCCGCCATTACTAATACATCGAGCTTTTAACCAGTGCTACAACATTTGAAATCCAGAAGAAGGGAAAAGGAAGTCAAAACCCAAAACCCACAATTCAAATGGGCATTAAAGACCTCCTCAGATTCATGAAGCCCTATATTCAGCCCATTCACATAAAGAAATATGCAGGCAAACGTGTAAAGTATCGCATGTCTCTATTTAGTTATTTTGTCCATTTGATGCATTGTCATAGTAACCATATTTCAAATTAACTTCACCGCAGGTGGGTATCGACGCCTATTCGTGGCTGCATAAGGGAGGTAACATTTATTTCTTCTTTCTCATTGCTGTGTTTTTTTTTGTCTTTTTTGTTTGGTTTCGTCCATTGACTGGTTCTGCTTTTTAAAACAGCTTATTCATGTAGTATGGAGATTTGCCTTAATTCAGACAGTGATAGAAAACTGCGATACTTAGACTACTGTATGCATAGAATCAATCTGCTTCGCCATTACAAGATAGTCCCAGTTGTGGTTTTTGATGGTGGGAATGTTCCGTGTAAGGCAGCCACTGAGCAAGAGCGGCACAGGCATGAAACCCAGAACATTATTCTATTTTGAAATTTGATAAGCCTTTTATTTCTCCATACTCATGTAGTTTATTTAGTTGTAAAATATGGGTGCATATGGCTTTTCCAGAAAAAGAGAGGCAAACAAGGAATTGGCGATGGAGAAGTTGAAAGAAGGGAATGTTGGTGCTGCCTCTGAGCTTTTCCAGGTTTTTGACATTTCATAGATGCTTTTATGCTTATATTTGTTATGTTAAGTTTTCTAAACTGGGAGTATCTTTCAGATGTGGGAGCTAAAGAATGCTTCATTTTTAGTATAATTAGTTCTTGAATGAACTCAGTTCAAAGTTCAAACAAACTTTTTGCGTTTTTGACTTAAAAGTATACCACCATTTCAGAGTAGCGTATTTTGTTATCAGTGGACAGTTCAGTAAAGTTGCTTAATCTATAATAATTTGGGTTCCCATTAAAAAACAATCTATAGTCACTTTGCTAACAAGGTTTAACCAAACTCCGCTGTCTCTC